TGGAGAGAATTTTCTCAGGCCGCAATCAGGTTCTGAAAGAATTTTGTCACGCTGCAGATGGGTTCGGGAGAGAATTTTGGAAGGACTGGGAAAGTTGGGCCGCAGTCGAATTTGGAGAGAATTTTGTTGGGCCGCAGTCAGATTCAATGGGAAATTCTGTCAGGCCACACTCAGGTTCAGAGAGAATTTTGTCAGGCCGCAATCAGGTTCTAAGGGAATTTTGTCAGGCTGCAGTCAGGTTCAGGGAGAATTTTGCAAGGACAGGCAAAGTTGGGCAGCAGGCAGATTTTGAGATAATTTTGTTGGCCCGCAGTCGGATTTAAAGAGATTTTTTGTCAGGCTGCAGTCATGTTTGGGCAGAATTCTGTCAGGCTGGTTCGGCCAAAATTTTGTCAGGATGCAGATGAGTTCAGACAAAACTTTTTCAGACTACAGATTTATATTCAAAACTTGCTGCTGTGGGACGGGTCAAGTCAGACTTGTGCTAAAAATGTTCTCAGGCCACATTCAGATTTGGTTAAAAATTTCAAGCCCGATTAAAGCTCAGCTGCACAGTTGTCCATTTAGGCCCTCAGTTTCAGACTGCCTGCAGCACACAGCAGAGAAGAGGCCATCCATCCAGTCACAGCTAAAACTGGCCATTACCCTCACACACACACACACACACACACACACACAAACTAAGTCTACAGCACACACCACTTAGGATTTATTCTAGGCGTCAAAGTCAGCATTTCATGTCAGACCGGCTCCACCCCAGAACCTAAGTGGAGTAGCTGAGGCCAGACTGAGGTCTGTCCCTTCTGTAAAACTAGCATGGCATAGCAGGTTAGCAAGCATGTGCTAGCACAGGGTCATTCTGCCCACCTAGTCTGGGTTGCATATGTTATTATTAATCACAGCCTTCTCAAGCAGGGACGCCAGGATCAGCTCATGTCACCTGATAATGAATGAGCGGAATATGAATGATCTTTTTGTTTATGTCCTTGCAAATGACTATCAGAGATGAAAATAATAAGTAGAGTATCTTCCGCTTGAATGAACTGCGGTACAAAAAAACTGAATTGCTTGGGCATCGTATCAGCTAACAGGAGCCGTTCTAACTGCCAGAGTGCACAGATTTCTTCCACTGCTCATTTATCATCATCCAATCCAAAATGAAATGGTATGGATCTCTACTGCCACAACAGCTGTAAGAGTTTTTATTGATTTGACTCACTGATCGGCAGTTATTACTCACAGTCAAATTAAAGCCAGCCTGGCATGTAGGCAAGGAGCTAGAATCCAGAACACAGCTTTTCAGTTTTCACAATCTGATGAACTTCTTTTGACGTGACTGAAATCAAACATCTCAGAATACAAAAAAAACAAACAAAAACATTAAAACACAAACACAGCATAATCCCATTAAATCAAGACTTGCAATAGATAATCTGTTGCCCAAACAACAATGATGCTGGGAAGCTTTAAACTCCACAGCTAAACTGCACAGTCTGTAATCTGTTCACATAATCAACAGAGTCATTAGAGTCAATCATTAGAGATCCACAACTCATCAGCAAATATATTTTACTGTACTTCTTGACCACTTGAATAATATGCCACAAAGTTACACTGAGAAGATATCTACAGTTTTTTTTCTTAAGGTAAAGTAGTAAATGGAAAAGACATAGCGATCTTATGCTATGTAAAGTTACACTGCTGATCCTTAAAACTCACTGTTATACACCAAATTGAAGCTTTAAACACTTTCTGTTTAGGCTTCTAATTTGACCCTAAATTCCAGACATCAAGGACAAGAACATATTTTCTTGGTATATTGGTTCAAAATATTTATGCACTGTTTATGGACTGTGCAAAGTTAGGGAGTCAAATTGCTGGACCTTGCATTGTGGTAGCAGAAAACCTCTAACACCGGTTATCACCTACACGTAATAACAATAATTCAGAGGGCATATGCTCTGGATGTGTTATACAATCCATGAAAGCTGTAATATTTTACAAACCTTAAACCCAGGAGTGCTCAACTGGAGGTGAACACGTATAAACTGCTTCTCATTTTCCCAAGCACTGTCAACATGGGTTTTTGCATTCCTTATTTCTGCTATTAAAACCATACCTCAGCAACCACTAGAATTAACTAACCAGGCAAAGTTGACATGTAAAACAGAGATAAGCTTGCCATTCAGAGAGGCACACTGGGTTAACTGCTCTTGAGGAAACCTCCTGCACTCTATACAAAGCTGCACAAAGCTCTACACAGAACCACAGCCACTGTATCGGCAACCTTGAAACGATGGCAGTGCTTCTCCACCTCCAACCGAAGCAACAGTCGGCCAAACAGGACTCTTGAACTCTGGCATTCACAATATGACAAATTAAAGCTGACATTTTCACATTTTCTATCATTTGAAATGATTATCTAGCAACAGGAGACAGAAAGTTCTGCAAAGACAAAGTTCCAAGTTTCATAAAGGTGATATTTCTGTTTTTCTTTCCAAAAGCCAACATAGCATCCAAATATTTCAATTTCTCTCTAGTATTGTCTAGTGTACCCCTCTCGAGTCTCAATTCCAGTTATCTCAGGTTCCATATAAGGAGGACAGTGTAAATTAACGATTACAGCCTATAGAATTATTGTGTTAAACAATATGACTGTGATCCAAAATTCAGTTGCGAAGTTCCTCGTGTGACCATTACAGAGCCTTAAACTATATCTTGCATTTCCCTGATGATAATATAATTAATAAACCACATACTTTCCATCTAGGCTAGATTCTAATATTAATTCATAATTTATAAGAGGCCAGTTTGGCAATATTTTGGTTTCCAACCAGATGAACCAAGTGAACCACATGGAACAGTGTTATATGCCTCTGTACAAAGAGCAGATTATTAGCAAGGGTGGTAAAAGTACCATTTTGGAAACATATCTGAGTACAAATCATCCAGCTCAAAAGGAGAGGGTCCGACAAATCAAATGTACAAGCTCGCCCATTTCGCTCTATGCAGGAGAGTAGATCTCATGTTTCAGAGTTTACGTTAAAAGTGCACGTTCCCCAACATTATTTGCCAGATGAAAATCTGTTATAATCTTACCAAGTGGTGTTCAAAGTGTGTGTATAGTTAACTGGTTGGTGATGTTTTTTTTTGTACAGCCTATAATTAAGTGCAATCTGTTCTACTGTATACATTTTTTAACTACTTATAGATTAGACTGTACAAGGTTTTGGTTAAATAAAGGAGAAGCAAAAAATAAAGAACGATGGTTCGAGTAATATCTGCACTTATTTAAATTATCGTAATGCTCGATAATGCCAATGATCAGCCCAAGACTTCATATGGAAGTCTGGTTACAGTATAATTTTGCCTTGGAATGACTCTTATTATTGGCATTCACAAGCACACATGGTCATGCTGGCTCCTGATCCACGTGAGAGAAAGCGTGCAGTAGGGACTTTAGCATGGAAGATTACAGACGTGGCCAGTGTGTGGGATTCTAATCACATAATGATGGTGGCACTGCACAGGACTGGCAGATCAGCCCAGGCCTTCCGCTCTGCTCTATAAATAACAGCTCTACAGTAGAGACCCAGAGCCAGTCACAAAAAACAGAACCCACAGCAGAACACTTGCACTCAAATATCAGCCACCGCAAGCTAAACATACTGTTCTTTAATGTGTCGTTGCTGTTTCGTGCCCCCTTGGGGTTCGCCTGTGATCCACAGAGCAACAATCACGGTGCATGGCGTTTGTCATAAGTGAACGACAGCCTTGCACTGAATGTATGGATGAGTGTTTACAGTTCAATAGTTGTGAAAGTCAGAGAGGGGAGTACTACAGAAGTGTCAGTCACCTTGAGAGCAGACAAGTGCCAAACATACCGTAGGTTGAAGAACTCTGGGTTCTTCTAACTCGAACCTGAGGGAAGTGAGCATTGCACAGTTCTGCGTTTCCCTGAGTCACCACACCTGATTCAACCTGATCACTGATGAAAGAGGTATAGTGAATCTCTGCTGGAGAGCCTTAGTTTAAAACAAACAGACTTTATTGTGTTTATTCAAGAGTGAAGAACTCTGTTCACACATTCAGCACCTGCCCCCCAAAATGCAGCATAATAACAGCCTAGACCTATTTTGCAAAGTGAGTAATGAGTACTTGCATTAAAGGAGGTTAAGCCCACTCCCGGGCATCTCCAGCAAAGGCTCTGCAGACAGCAGAGTGTGCCCCTCGCACAGCAGCTCGGCCAGCCGGCCTGGCCATGCTAACGCCTACTGCAAGCACTTGGGAGGACAGATGGAGCGAGTGTCTGCAAACAGCACCACGTCTTCTCCCTTTGCAGGGGCCCCGGACAAAAGCTTACAGGGTTGCATCACCTTCTGCCCTCACAGCTTGCTGCTTGGTCTCCATCCATCAATGCAGCACACTGGCCGACACAGTCTAATTTCAGCCCATATGAAAGTGCATGCAGTGTCTAATTGCGGTTGCCATGCTAGATCAATCCCAATCTCACAATCAGCATCTAGTCTGCCTTGCTGTAGTCACTTATTTGGGCACAGAGCATGCAGCTTATGCCCTCACATGGCAACAAGGTGACGGAGAAGAAGCAGAGCCGTTTTCTATGGATCTAATGAGCAAGTAGGGACTGTTTTTGAACAAACCATGAAGTGATCCTTATTCCAAAAGAGAGAGCAAAGGCATCAGCATGTATGATAAAGACAAAGTTCCCATTCACCACAGTCAAGCCTTGTCTGCCTGGGCCAGGCTGTCCAAAACGCAGCAACACACACCCAAGTTAAAGGCTGAAGAAGACACAAGGAACATCTTTAGACTCTCTGGATGGAGGACAACAGCCAGATAAAGCCAGTAAAAGGATGGACACTCGTGGCCATCCACCTGCCAGGCACAGATTTGGCCCCAGTCAAGTATGCGGGGTGGCGGAAACAGCAAGTCATTGGTGGCAACTAGAAGGTTGTAGAAGAAGGAAAGGTGGGACAAACCTGTCTGCCCTTTCCCGAGGGTCTTCTCCAAACGGTACGGTCCCACGTAACTGGCGTGCAGGGCAGCGCTGTTTTCCTTCCCACACGAGGACATCGTGACGGTTGGCCGTCTGCAACGAAAGCGGCGTTAGTAGCAGAGCAACGCAATCCTCTTAAATGGTGAGGACGGCTTTGGTCTATTCCACAATCCCCTCTGCCTTTGCCTCCTCTGGGTCGCTTTTCTCGCTCTCTCCTTCTTTATTCTCTCTCTCTGTCTCCTGAGGGGAGAGCCAAAAAAGCACAAAGCAAGTCCGTGTCTGTGCCTCCTCTCTCCTCTGGAGCAGGTGAGCGGAGTGTTTATGGTCCGAGGAGCATCGTGGAGCGAGGAGCAGCGCGGCTTCCCTCAAGCCCGAGTGGAGCTGCCTGCCGCTGTCGGCGTGGGGCGTTTTGTTTTTTTCCCACCCGTATTCATACAAGCCCCGCCCACTGAGCTGCGATTGGCTACTAGTTCACGCTCACAAGCAGGCAGCCGTAGTAACCGGTTATTTTTATTCAGTTACATCGGCTTAAAAAACTATTTTGACAGATTTCAAATTCAGTTTTTTTAAACGCTGGTCGTGTTACTCATACTAAAAAATTGAGAAGCATAATTTTTGCTCAGTTCCACTTTAAACACCCATTTAGTTTCCGATTCCTTTTCTCGGTTAATTTATTGTATTTGAGTATTCTTGACAGCATTTATGCTGCTCTACTGTTGCTCTAACGTCTCACCTATACGCTTCAGCGTTTTATTTTAAGCCAAAAGGCTTCTATAAAGAAAATAACACAGCCTTTTTTTGTACCTTATGCGTTTTTTTACTCCTGCTCACGTTGCTTTGCTCCTACTCAAGCTATCTTTGCTCATACTTGACTCAATATCTTTATCTGAGCATGGGTTCAGTCTACTCCACCCACCTCTGACTCCCAGCCAATCGCAGCACAGCAAGGGGCGGGGTTTGTCTGAATACAGGTGGGAAATAAAGATAAACCCAGCGCCGGTGCAGGAGTGGGCGGGAAGCTCCGCAGCCTCCTGAGAATGACTGACGTAGCAACGGACCAATCATCGAGCTTCATTCTTTGCCGCAAACCACGAGTTGATGGTGCAGTGCTGTGGAAGTCGGTTTACAGCGGAGGGAAAATCTAAATACAATATTCACCTTCTTATTGATTTTACTTTGATTCGTATTGATTTTCTTTAACAGCGATATGAAGGTGAAACAGTGAACCTATAGGCAGTGACTGAGAAGGGGCTGTCCAACTGAAAAGGCGACACCCACCATCTCTGCTGCTGGAAATCAAACATAAGATGCTCACTTAACATATATAGTAGATATAATATATACACTTATAGTAATTGCATTAAATTGGATTTTCCTCTTGTTTAATGTGATTTAGAATAAAAGCAAGCACTTTAAAGGGCCCAAGAATTTTCCTCTTTTTTGTGAGAGTTTGATGTAGTATATAAACGTTGTTAAAGTTTCAAGTTGTTAAAGTTTCACTCACAGTGTTTGCAGTCCATGATTGGAAATTAAGCTACAACAGTAGTCTGTTTTTTAATTCATTGTTTTTGTGATGTCACGAAGATCAACACGTGCTCCAATACATATATATACACCTGTTCAGTCTATAGCAGGTTAGCCTAACCAGTTCACAGCGAAGTTATAAGGAATGATTCAGTCCAGAATGCTTTTTGAATCAGGCACACTACAGGGTATTTTTTAATGTTTGTTTGAGCATCATATGTACATTAGAATTATTTACTGATTAATTGATTACTTTGTTTTTTTCCTCTTTGATTTTTCTTCTCTTTCATTTGTTTTGTTATTGGTCGATGATGGATCTAATTGATACTTTTGACTTGCTTTAATGATGTCAGTGAGTGGTTCATGTACAAGTAGTTCTGTTTAGTGGGTCGGGGGACTAGAATGTTATTAGCATGCTGTGGAAAGCCGTGGTGTGCCGAAACATGTTTGTGCATCTGTCCAATAAATAAATATTTTGCAATTATTATATGAGTGCTGTCCAAATCTTTTTCATTTGCAATACAGGGCAGCCAATCAGAACAGAGATCATTTACATATGTCAGTCTTAAAGATACAGTTACAGAACAGCCTGTTTAATTCATAGAGATAAAGAGAGGTCATGTACAAATGAATTACAGCTATTTTCTGCCACACTAATCCACACACACATTATAAATAAACATTGAGTGTCTGATGCGTTAAGGAAATTGTATTTTCTTAAAAAGGAAGAATACAATTTGTTTCCATGTTTTCTTTTCTGGGGTCTGATGTCATTTTATTTCACAAGCTACTGATCTCAGGCCTGTGTGTGTTGGTAGAGAAGCAGAAGTATCAGGGGACTTCCATGATGACATGCTTCTCTAAGTCTGACAGCACTCAGTCCTGGGTAACCGCTGTGCTATGAGGGATGTGAGAGCACATCTCTGTGTGTGCGTGTGTATGTGTGTGTGTGTGTGTGTGTGTGTGTGTCCACGCAAAGGCAAGCAGCATTAATTAAGCAGCATTATTTAGCAAAAATCTAAATAAGAGCCAAAAAGTACCAGGTCAGAAAACCCACTGAAGTTTCCTATAGCACTGACGTGGAATGTCTTAGAACATCCAACATCTATTAGCAGGAACTGAAACTTGTTAGGGGATCTTTTACTTGGAAATAAAATGCTCAAGTTCGAAAGCGAGAGGTGTGAGCTACAGTAAAGCAGTCCAGGTGCGGAACCAACTGAACAGACACAAAAAGTGAATCAGTAACTGAATGAAAAATGTAACTGAGTTAACAGTAGATTACTTTTCCCACAATGTACTTGAGTAGATATAAAAGTATTATCATTTGAAAATACTCACAGAGGAAATAGAAATCAATCAAAATAGTGTGGATTTTATATGTACGTGGAACTGAGAAAGTATAACCACCTCTGGTAGTTAGTTTCATTCAGTGGCAGTGCTGATAAGCACACTGTAGTATCCTCAGCAAACTTGAGGATGTGATTTGAGCTTTGCTTTGCAGCACAGTCGTGAGTCATGAAATATGTCACTTATCACTTATGAAAAAGAACTATGTTAATACTACAGGAATTTCTACAGGATTTCTAAAGGACTCATAAATTAGGATAATAATTATTATAGTTTACTACAGGGCACTACACAAGAATTATAGATTACTATGAGACAGTACTACTGGAATATTATAAGGGAGTCATGGTGTAGGTACTATAGAAGTATTATACAGCACTACATAGTACAGTGTATCATTATAGTTCTTTTTTATAGAGATTTTGATAATATGACACAAAATTCCCACAGCAGAATCTCCAGACAAGATGCAGAATTCATCACTCAGAATCTCCAGCAAGAGCACTTTGAAGTCTTCAGAAACATCTGTACCTGTTGTGTGTAATGATGAAGACCAGCCGCTCCCCTGCACTCCCACCACAGGGAGATTAATCGGGAGGCGAAGCGAGCGGCTACGATGTTTACTGTTTACACACAAACAAGCCCGGCCAAATAAGCCGAGCAAACATCATCCGCCGTGTGTCTGATTGGCAATTTCCCCACCGTTTGTGTGCAGAAGCCAGCAGGTCGGGATTATTATACAGATCTATGCTAATGGCATGCAGATACACATGGCAGATAGAAGGACGGAGAGGGAGACGAGGCCCGCAGATCTGAGAGGGCCTGTAATGAGGGAGCCAACACACTGGCTAACACATCACCTCTGCTTATCACAGGAACACAGTTTAAAGGTGTGTGCTCAGCTAGGTTTGTGTGTTTGTAACAGAGAGAGAGAGAGAGAGAGAGAGAGAGAGAGAGAGAGAAAGAGAGAGAGAGAGAGCAGAAGGGCTGGCAGATGTGAGGGTGAGATTTGTTCCTATAGTGAAAATGACCTACATTAGCATGAGTGAGAAAGTGCTACACTGAAGAAACCAGTGAACATCTCAACTTTTTCATAGTCAGATTCCTAGTTTTATTCTTAGTTTGCCTGGTTCGTCCTTGAGTTAGAAACAGCTTACATAAAGGACAGGATTAGAATATATACAGCATAGAGATGCACTTAGCAAATGATGTCTCTCATGGACTAGACTACAGTCACCCTGAAAGCCAGATAACTAACGTTACTGCGAGGAAGCTTATCTTATTGCATCTGTACAACTGTATTAACTGTCTTGAAATCATCATTACAATGGAGAGAAAATGGATTATTCACATCACAGAAATGATTAATCAGATGATGCGAGCAACAAGCTAAAAGCCAATGTTAGCAAATCAGCTGACTTATCTAGATATCATACCTCAGTTTGTCTCCTTGTCTTTGACTGAAAGGATGAAAAAACTTGTATCTGGTGTGGTGATTAAAGGTAGAATCATTGCTTTCTTTACAATTTTGTTTGGCAACCACGGTAAGAGTTGCAACAAAGTTAGCTTGGTTGTATCTATTACCACGTAGATCAGTGGCTAGGTTAACAGTCAGGATTGGTTGACACCTCAGGGATTCCTAAAGGCTGTTTAATGTATTTGCGTAATGCATGCTGGATACTGTAATGAGAGAACATTGATGAACAAAAACAAATCACGAACTTGGTCCAAACAATGAGGCTGAGGGATGCAATGCTGCACTAAAGAATACTGCAAATTGTAATAGTAAATGATAAATAGTATGAGGTACCATTAAGGGCGGCGCAGTGGGTAGCGCTGTCGCCTCACAGCGAGAAGCGCCTGGGTTCGATTCCCAGCCAGGCGACCAGGGTCCTTTCTGTGTGGAGTTTGCATGTTCTCCCTGTGTCTGCGTGGGTTTCCTCCGGGTTCTCCGGTTTCCTCCCACAGTCCAAAGACATGCAGTCAGGCTAATTGGACATGCTGAATTGCCCCTTTGTGTGAATGTGTATGTCTGTCTGCCCTGCGATGGACTGGCGACCTGTCCAGGGTGTATCCTGCCTTCAGCCCAGTGACAGCTGGGATAGGCTCCAGCACCCCCCACGACCCAGAAGAATAAGTGGTTTAGATGATGATGTGAGGTACTGTAAAGTGCACCTTTCTCAAAGTACACTCAGAACCATTTTCTAATAATAATAAATAAAAGGCCTGAAGCCATCAATCACCCTGTGTTTGGATTCGGTTTCTAAAAAATTACTTGACTTGAGTCACATCATCACCTCACTTCTTACACAATGCAATTGATAGTTCTGATGCTTTAGCTTTACTGTATGTGCACAATTTAATCTGATGAACCTCCTACCAGGACCCTCCTGACAGAAGGAGAAGGTATGGTTAACCGAAAAGTCTCTGTCTGAGGACCATGGGTTTAGAAACAAAGCAAAAGTCTGGCATGTCCTGGGGAGCCA